TCCTAATCATTAGACCAAATGAAAACAATCTTGTTCTGTGCTGAGCTTGACATATTAAAGACTGTAATGACTGAGGCTGCAAGTCACTTTACTCAGTGTGTGGCCTGAACACACGAGGGGACTGCGAGATTGAGAGATAGGTCAGCCAGTTTATGCGTGTGTGTATTTGTGTGAAAAACAAGTGAGTCAGTGAGAAAAAGAACTTCTGTGTAATCTAAATAATTTGTTTCTCTCATACTCGACAAGGAAGAACTTGAGGATATTTTTATGCAATCTCTGCTTTATTTACTTTCTTTTCCTACTTTAGTTCTCACTGCAGCACCTTGAAATGCTTAGCGACGTTTTTGTAAGATTGAAACCAGCACTGCCCAAGCAAACGAGTCCAGACCCAATAAAGCTGTATAGGGATCCCGTGACACTGTCCTGACACTTTTGGCTCCCACTGAAAGGTTTGTAAAGGACTGCAAAAAAAGTATAATGGCTCTCATCCACTAGATGCTTTCCGGTCATTGCTACTCACAGTCTTCTTTGAAATTCCAACTGCCTCAGTTGTTTTCTGAAGTCTTCTGTCTTTTAGGTGACTGAGGAGATCCAGCATTTAGGAGAGCAGGGAGGTCTGAATTGGTTGTTTGTCAGAGTGTGTTGATGTTGTTAGAATCATTGTTTCCTGCGTTGGTCAGACACTGGGTTTATGTTGGCGGAAGTGTTGTTATTTTGGCTCCTGTTGCACTCCATCTTCTTAGCTCTCCCTGCTTCTCATTACAGTGAATAAACACAAGCCAAGCATTAGACTAAACTACTTTTGAGGAACAAGAGCGTGTGTGTGTAACGCTTGCTCTGTGTTCATGCCTATTTGTATGTGTGTGTGAGGGTGCACGCGCGTGCGCACACACACACACACACACACACACACACACACACACACACACACACACAAGGATGCATTCACAGTCAAGCATGGCTTTTTGAGTGGAGTTCGAGTTTTTAAAGTAAATCGAAGTGCTAAATTGAAACAACCCTAAAAGTTGACAACGACTAGGCACATTCAGTGCAGTGCTATCTTTTTTCTTTTTTGACACATAGTCAGTGTTCTGTTCATTACATGGCAGAAACTTGGCTAAAATCCCATTTCTGTTTGTTGACTCCCTGTATAATCTATTTATGATTATGTGCTAATAGGAATATCTGAAAATGTTCTCTTAAGTGACCGATTGGTGTTGGCTACAATACGTGTCAACTTCTGGTTGACTGTTTTGCCTTAGGAACTGTTTAGGCTACATAGTATATTAGAAATCTATATTCAAATTCAAATTCAAAAATATTATATTGATCCCAGAGGGAAATTTGGTAAATACTGTATATGCACTAAGAGAAGATTATGGCTTTCTTTAAATCTAGTAAACACATTCACAAACAGTTCTCATCCTCAAATGTCCACTGATAGGTTAAAGAAAGATAGCAATGTGTGTACAGTGATATTCCTGTTCTGATAAAGCTAACAGATGGACACACAATCAAGACCCACAAAAACATGCAGGGTGTCTTTAGAAACTTTGGAGAAACATACTACGAAACTACACTAGAGCTGGTGACAGAGCACTGGTCTCACAGGGGGGCATGTTTCTTTTCAGCAAATTAACCCCAAGAAATAATTGCAGTAGTATGCTAATGCTGTTTAGATTATTCAGCATGGTGCCATGCCAGGTAGTCAGCCACACTGGTTCTGCTTCAAAGGGGATAAGCAATTGCACTTATGTGCAAAGCGGTAGAAGGAGTCAGGAGCACATTAGTATTGCAGTGAATATAGTGACATTTGCAGATGTTTTAAAACATTTATTGTATCTGTAACTGAAAAAAGTCTAATAAAATATAACATAATGCAGCAGTTTTTTCAGTTGTCACTTATTACCCCTTTCATTAAACCCTTTTAAGACAGGTCAGACATGCCTTCTTGCCATGATGCAGCTCAAATGAAGCATTTAGTTGCAGCTATTTCATGGAACGATTTTCTGAGAGAGGCTGTTCAGTATTTCTTTCCATCCATTGTTATGGGTGTATGTATTTTCTGCCACTTATCTGTGATTGAGTTACAAAGGCAACAGATCCAGGAGAAAGAAAAAAAATAGATATTTAGGTATTTTGTTGCACTCTTCAGATCCTCTTAGGGGGAGTGGGTGTTCCTAAGATGCTCCTAAGTCATAGAGCAGGGGTGTCAAACTCCAGTCCTCGAGGGCCGCTATCCTGCATGTTTTAGAGGTTTTCCAGCTCCAACACACCTGATTCAGTGATTGAATTAACTCTTCAAATTGGGCAGAAGCCTGTTAATTACCMAGCGATCAAAATCTGGTGTGTTGGAGCAAGAAAACCTCTAAAACATGCAGGATAGTGGCCCTTGAGGACAGGAGTTTGACACCCCTGTAGAGGGTACATAATTCCTCCAGCAAGTTCTGGGTCTGCCCTGGGGTCTCCTTCCATTTGGACATGGCCAGAAAATCTCCAGAGGGAGGCACCCAGGGGGCATCCTCAGATGTCTGAACCATCTCAGCTACTCTTCTATAAACTCCCCTTGGATGACAGAGTTCCTCACCCAGTCTAAGGCTGAGCCTGGCCACCCTAGGAAGCCCATTTCAACACTTGTATCCTTTTAGTGATGATTCATACCTCTTGACCGTAGGCAAGGGTTGGAATGTAGACAAACCAGTAAATTTGAGTGATTTTCTTTTCTATTGAGCTATTTCTTCATCACAGCAGACCCAGTGCAACAATCTTATCAATGCATCTCCCGCTCTGTTCTACTATCGCTGATGAACAAGATCCCGAATTCTTGAATTCATCTACTTGGGCAGAGTTTCATCTGCATTCTACCATTTTTTTCTGGTTAAGAACCATGGCCCCAGATTTAGAGAAGATGGCAATCATTCTAGTTGCTTAAAAATTCATTTTGAACTGTCCCAGTGCACGCTGAAAGTCCTGGCTTGGGGACGCTAACAGATCTACAGTACATCATCTGCAAAAAGCAAAGACAAGACCCTAAGGGTTCCCAATCCTGACACACCCTTCTCTATAGATTATGTCCATAAACACCACAAACAGGAACAGAAACAAGGGGCAGCTCTGGTGGACTCCAACTTGCACTAGGACCAACATCATTCATTTTGAGTTCATTTAGGAAGTATAGATGGCATGCACTGAGTTATTAAAGAGGGTTAAAAAACCCGTGTCATGCCTTGCACTAAAGAGTGACTGGAGTAGGGGACAGAGAAGGAGTGTGTAGAAAAAAAAGCAGGTGGCATTAATGAAGAAGAGTAGAAAATAAATGAGAGAGGGACAGTGAGGAAAGAAGTCAGACTAATGAAATAAACCTCACAGATAAATAGTGACACGGTGGAGGAGAAAGAAGGGAGACTTCAAAGTACTTTGATGTCGTAGCCTTTCAGACAGACAACCCTCCTTCACCCAGCCACTCCGCTCATAGCGAAAAGCACATATGCACGCGCATCCACGTAAGCACTCACATAAATGCACTGCACAGACGGCAGAAGGGCAGGCAGGGGCAAAGTTGCCCGCTCTTGCATCACACTCTGCGAACTGAGGTTGCCACTGACACTACAACCCCCTAATGCTAATCTGCCACAAACACAAACAGTCTGACAGGTTAATTTACTTCTAGACAAACACTGCAACAAAAATACACATCAGCACATCATAAAATACTACAAGCACACACAGACTTGTATACACAGATGCAGGCAAGCAAAACATTTCATCAAATCAAAGGATTTCTTACTTTCTTCTGAAAGTAAAGTATAAACCATATTTTATGTAGTCTATCTGTACGTGCATTTTTTTCACTTTCTCCTCAATTACCACCTTTAAGGAAGTAAAAGTAAAAGCAATTATCTTTTTGTTATACTGTGCTGTCTTATTAAAATGCAATCACCTTTATAGAAACCAACAGGGTAGTCTCTAAAGAGACACCCTTTGTCCTTTACGTTATATTGTTAATTATTTGTTTTGAGTCGCATTTAACAATTTGACACTCAATTAACAGATGAGGCTCAATTCTCCACAGGCCTTGTGTTTGTTTATTTTGAAGTATTTTTTTTAAATGTATATGCATGCTAATTAGTAGAAATGTAGACCTGTTTGTGTGCATTTTTGCTATCAAGTTTGCATTCTGCACGTCTACAATATAGTGTAGATCTGCAGTTGAGGACACAGGTGTTCCTAGTCAACAGGGCTCCATGCGCGCAACACCCTCTTGTGAGTATGTGTTGTTGATTTCTATTGTGAACCAGACAGTTTGATAGGAAATCAAAGCCTTGAATCAATGTTGCAAGTTCATTAACGGTTGCCCTTTTCTGGCCAGTACTTTTTACTATTGTTCTCTGCAGCCCTGGGTAAGCACTTACATCTTAGGTTAATTAAACATGTCTTCTAGTTACATGAGAACCTGCATGCCTTAGCAACTGTATACATACAGATTAATGTGATAAGAGCACATTGACAGGTGGCTTCTTTTGTGATGGTGAATATGCCTCTGTGTTTTTTTTTTTTTGTATGTCTCGTTTATTTTATTTTTGTTTACCTGTTGTTGGTTGATTTTTTTCCTTTTCTTTTTGACCTTCCCTTAGTGTCTTCCCATTATGCCTCTACTTGTGTTTAGATGGAGCATCGATTCAGCAGTAGGGTACAAATTAAGATTTAAATGTTATGTCATCCTCACTATTGAGTTTTACATTTGGGGCATTTGCAATATGCAAGACTTATTGATCTGTTGAAGTGTGGTTCTTTGTTCAAATCACCTTAGGCTAACAGCACATTTTTTTCTGTATTTATCTCTTTTTGGTTGCCTATAGGGTTCCGGATTTGATGTCTTGGAACTCGGACAGTAACAGAGTTTAAATAACTCTATTGTTACTTCATTTTCATTGGTTGATTTTTTTTATTGATATGATAAATTTTTATTTTTTATTTATTTACCTTTTTTTGTCTTACAGGACAATGGTTCCTCTGAGGATCATGTGCTCTACGTGTGGGACTACTTTGTGTCCAAAGCTGCTGCCAAGAATGTCTTTATCATGGCCCACAGCTATGGAGGCCTGTCTTTTGTTGAGTTGGTGAGTGACTCAGTTTTCTAATAAAACATTTTACCTCCCACCAACCAATGGGCTTATTGAGACATTCACAAATACTAATTCATCTATAAACTGAAAAAAAAACCTTACATGTGAAAACCATCTTTAGAATTAAAACAAAAATCCAAAAATTACCTAAACATAGACATATCTACAAACTTCCTAGGCACTGTTCAGCTTTAAAATACAGGCACCAGTGAAAAAAATAGTGAAACAACAGAAAATAAAATATGTTTATGTTCTTTATAAAAGTGCTGCCTCTGAGAAATCAATGGGACGCTTTATCCTTCTTTTTTAGATTCTGCTTTTCACATCAAGAACAGAATCAAAACGGGGAAAACAAAGTTCTGGATAAAGAAACCTGGGGATGTGCATTAACTGCTTTTAAACTCAATCTTTTGTAAAGCTTGTAGAACTCTGGGCCAGGAGAGAGACATTGGATAGGTAGAATATTGGTGGGAGGGATGTGGATTAGACAGAATTAATGGTTCACAGGGGGCTATTGGTGTGGGGAGTTTAGCCAGAATCTTGGCTTTGTAACCTTACATTTCAGCAAAATGAGCCTACAGTCTGTGTATTGTGGGTCATGGAAATAATTATTTTAATTTTATTTTTCTTGATTCTGATGTCTAGGATTTTAAAAAACATCATCATCCTCATTTTGTTTGTTATGACTTTATTCAGAATTGCAAAATGTTAAGATAACAGTTTAGTGTGCATTCAGGATTTATTTACTTTATTTTTTGACCAAGGTATGGTAACCCTTAGTCATGTTAAGTAGTAGTAGTGTTTATGTTTGAATTCACTTTCAGTTCAAAGCTAGGTTAATCACTCAAATATATAAATGCAATAATATCATAGACTGATTATTAGCTAATGTATTAAAACAAAAATTGCAGGTCTCACTGAGCTGCCAAAGCAGCTCTGATGCATAGAGTCACAGACTTCACCCAGACCTCTGAATGCACCCTGTCATAACAATAATTAAGATGCTAGCAGCAGATACTTGAAGTCTTTCAAGTCATGGTTCTGACTTGTGATTTCAGCCTTTTTCATTGACGTCTATGGGACTGAGATCTGAAAACCTGGAGGCTAACCCATCACCTTAAATCCTTTGTCATGTTTTCTTGAAAAAAGCTGTTTATATGTGGTGTGACTGGTGCCATGTGTAACATGGGCTTCAACTCTGGTTCTATTCATAGCTACTCACCACCTAAGCATTGTAACTGCCCTCTTTTTTAGCAATAGATCTCTCACACCTCACACCCAAATTCCACCTATGTTACATGACTTTGTTTCTTAAACAGGGTATCCCAGTTCTAGGTTGAAAGTGTATTGTATAAGGAGATAATATGTAGGTGGATGGAGCGCTGCTCACTGCCTTTATTTGCTTTCTTCCATTGTACATTTTGTTGCCATGTGGATCCCAGACTACAATGCTCATAATTCTCACTATCCATTTTGTGTAATAGAAAAACAACTGATCAGTCCAGGCAGTCTTCTTTCAGTTCGGCCTGTGAATTAGTGGTCTTTTGTATCATTTATTTAAATAATTTACCACAAATAAATGAAAATTCCCATGAGTAGTAAACCGTTGTAGTCAATAAAATGCCATATTTTAAAATTATATGAATACTAATTTACCTTGGATACCTGATATCCCAATTATCATTTGTATATAGCCACCTTGGCACAGTGCCAGCTATATTTGTAACTTGATGTGTTTCTGTGGTGGGATTTAAAATATTATTACTGCAAGGAACTCCTTCTGAATTAGCTTCTAACTAGCACAATATACTATTTGTGTTTGAAAGTATGTCCATGTTTTAGGAGCTGGGCATGGTTAGTTTGCTTAGTTTTATTTTTATTTTTTGATATGGCGAATCTATGACTAGGTTTTTTTGTTTTTTTATTTTTTATTTCACGTTATGTGAAACGTATCTTTCTTCTTTTCTTTGGGGGAAATGGAGGAGGCAAGAAATGCAATGAGCATGCGGCTAGTAAGGAGGGCTTGTCCCTCTGGTGTTTCCAGGAATATATTCTGTATTTTTCTTTCACCTGCACCATTTTTTCTCCATTTTTTTTGTTTTGTTTTGTATTTTGTAATTTTAATTTGACTACTAAATATTCATGCAGTGTTTTGTCTGTGACAGCCTCACAATCTCCTGGGCTCTCTCACTGTGTGACGATGACTAGCTATTCTGTCTGTTTGTATTTTTCTGTCTCTCTGTGCCTGCTTCAGATTCATTCCCTCTCTTTGTCTCTGCATATGTCTATGTGTTCATGCAAAGGCCTCAATGAGTTTCCAACAGCTTTCTTGTACTTGACATCCTTGGTATATTAAAAAACCCTTTTGTAAACATGTATATACAGTATGTGCATTTTTAAATATGTAACATATTACATGAAATATGGTCAAAATAACATAATGATATTGCAAATAGGTTTCTCTTAGTGATAATTGAGTTAAAAGTCTCTGACCTCTTCCACCTTTACAATAAGACAAATTAATTTAGCACTAGTACTACATTAACTGTACTATTGCACTATTTTGTAGACCTATTGCATTTTTGAACATTTGTGGACTTTTTTCTTTTAATCAAAAACAAATGTTTAACAATGTTTCAATCTGCAGTGGACGCATGCGTAAATCAGCTGTTATACATTTCATTTTGTTGTTGCTGTGCATTATGATATTCATAAGCGTATGTTTTTAAGCCAATACACCCACACACATATACATACACATGCACACAGTTTACTTAATTGAGGAGGAAGTATTCCAGTGGGATAGGATAGGAAGTGTGTGCGCACAAGCTGGCAAATGGCGAGTAGAGCCTTGTGGGATGAACCATTTGACACACGAAAAGACCCAGAGAAAACAAGCTGTCTGTGGGTTAATTACTGTTCCCCTTTGCAGTTAATAAATACGTTTCTGATCAAGCACATCAAAAGGCCCAGCATTAATTTCTCCTGCTTGCTCCCCTTGCTGCAGAGCATGTTAGCCACTGTTTGGAGCGCTCAAGTGTTTCAGTGCAATTTGATTCTTTTTAAACACTTCACAGTGTGTACTGACTAATTATAGATACATCAAAGGCTAACTAACTGCCTTTGAATAGGAGCACAAGAAAAAAAAGAGTTTAAGGCTGCCAGGGAAGGCTGCTTCATTCCTTCTTTACTTTGCCTCCATCTTTTTCACTTTGTATCAGTCATAAGCGATCAAACATTCAGTCCATCCATTTCTGCCCTCTCTGTCTCTGTCTTAGACTTTGTAGTCTTTTCTGACATCTGTGTTGATGCTCGGCCAGCCTGTTCCTTCTTAGTTCTTCTCTTTAGCTCTCTCATATGTAAAATTAAAAAAAAGATGCATAAATAATTTTTACTCAATTTGGTTATTAAGTTTTAACATGATTATTCTTATAACTCCTGAAAAATATAAAGAATTTCATGATGGTTTTGAACTCGCTCTCTTTTTCTGTGCCCCAATTTCAGTCACATGCCAAAGACATCAAAAAGCCACCCTTGTTTAAGTTTCTGTTTACATTATAACTGCTTTTCTGGATACAGCTTGAGAAGAAAGTTTTAACATTTAAAACAACTCATACCTCAAAAATGTCATTGAGGTTCAAGCTAATTTTTTTTTGCTGTTACTTTTTACTCTGCATCATTTTTGCTTCAGACTTGTTTTTTGCATTGAGGACTGGTCTCGTTGGAAATTTGAAAACTGCAAAATGGGCTTTGTTAGGCACTTCTGGTCCACAAAGCTACCTAATTCAATGTGTAATGTAGCAATCCATGCCATGCGTTACTTGAAATTTTTTAGATTTTTTTCCTTCAGGCTTAATTTGTTTTATATCATGAATAAAAATGTTCATGCCTACGATATACAACACCTTTTCTTGGTTCTGCAAAGTTTAAACTTTATAAAGAGCACTTTTATTTTTTTCACTCATACACCAGACAACATTTTGGGGGCAGTGGAGGTGCAGTTTCACACTCAAGTACACTTTAGTACACTGCTGGAGCTGGGGATTAAATGAACTGAGCTTCAAACTGAAGGGTGATCTTTCTACTACTGGGTTGAAGCTGTCCCAGTAGAAATTATTGAAATTTGCTCTTAGAAAGCTCTTTTTTTCCCCAAAGTGATTGTACTCACCCATTACAACCCTTCCTGATTCTCCAAACTGAAAGCTATCTAAGTGCAGGTAAGATAACAACTGCTCAGAAGTACTGCATACAGCCCCACCTAAAAAAAAGTCCTTTAAGCTAGAAAGTCTTTGCCTTATAGGTTAAGCAGAAGGTACAGAGTGGGTAAGGTCAGGATATGTGTATTTTGTTTACTTTTTGTTTGTGATTTGATCTATTTTTCTTGTGATTGTGTTTTTTTTTTGGATCCTAATGTGTGTTCAGTTCTCACCAGATCAATATTTGCATGAACATTAGTAATCAGAATAAACGGCCAATCAGAATTTAAAAAGTGTTGTGTTAATGCCCTATTAAATCTATTCTGATCTGATTCAACTCAATTTAAAGAAATTTGTAATCCAAATGAGAGGGGTGTTTTATGTCAATTGATAATCTGAACTTTGTGCATTTAAACACTTATTCTAATCATGTTATTCTGGCTGTGGAAAATTCACCTGACTGTGAATGTTCACCCAATGTCAACCTGATGTATTTTTGCCTGGCTCAATGCTAATATGTTGCAGAAATAAAATTGGTTGGTTGGTTGGCGATATATTTCTATTAGAAACTTTGAAAGAGCTCAAAATTATCGAACACCTTGATTGTCAAAAATGTAGGAACACTGCATGGATTGAAATCTACACCCTTAAACCTTGCATGGGTCCATTCTGGGAGCTCAGAAGACACAGAACATTTGTGTTAATTTTGTTCCCTTACAAATAAATACATCCAGATTATTTAATCTGAATACATTTCAACACAGCTAGTGTTTTTCCCCATCTCTCCCTCAGTCAGCT